ACACACACACACACACACACACACACACACACACTGCAGCAGATATATGAGTCAGAATGAGCCAGACAGTCCAGGACAGATAACATGGGCGAGCCAGACCACCTCAGCCTCAGATCAATGCTACTGATGGTCTGTCTTCTTTCATTAGACAGCTGGAGGTTTTTGGACTGTATAAATCTTACATATGAGAAACAGTGTCTCACTACACAGACAGAAAACCTGTTTATTTTCTTGTTCTGAGTCTGAACTTCACCAACAGTCCACTTATTTCTCCATTTTCAACCGTTGCTAGAAGCTTGTCCACTAATCGCATTGTAATCAGTATTCGTGTCTCCAGACGTGATAATGAAATTGATCACTGGTCAATAGAGGTCATTAGTGGAGTCTTGGCCCCTTCGCACATTGTCAGGCCGCTCCTGTGTTAACCGAGCGAGTGTTGAGGACAAGGGTGACAGCTCGGGTCATGAATATTGATGTGGTGCAGTGGAGACACACCCAGACTAAGTTATTGGTCATCTCTCAGAACTGGTGCACGCTGGGCCGTAAATCACAGAGCTGAGGATGTTGACTGAAGCAGTGAGTGTGTGGGTGGATGAGGTGGAGGACGAATCCCAGGAGTTATGATGTGCAGCGGTTCATGGACGCGCACATGCGTGCATGCGCACGTGTGTGTGTGTGTGTGTTAGAGTATGGGGCTTTTTGTTGATTAAATTCTTTTATTCTAGTTTTTTTAATGTTTCATTGATTTCATTGGTGCTGTCATATCAATACCATTATAACAAGAGTTGAATACCCACCACTTTTTCACCTCTGCGTGTTCCGAAATGTTTTGTTGTTTTGAAACATTTTGAATTTCACTTGAGGAAATTTGTGTTTTCTATTTCATTCTGTGAACATTACGAAATGAATGATTGTGTTAGAATCTTCATGTTGCAAAATCAACAATTGAAGACTAAGAGATCAATATTTTGTAATAATTTCCAAACCGTTCCATTATCAAGCAAAAAGACGTTTCCTCGCACGCAGACACGGCTGTGCTGTAGTTTATGTTTCCGAGTCACACTCTGTGTAATTACCCCCACAGACACCTGCTATGTCCTATCATTTGCCATCATTATGCTGAACACCAGCCTGCACAATCCCAACGTCAGAGACAAGCCCCCTGTGGAGCGCTTCATCTCCATGAACAGAGGGATCAATGAGGGGGGGGACCTCCCAGAGGAGCTACTCAGGGTGAGAGCTTTGACTTTATTACTTCATTAGTGTTGACAAATGTGTGCAATGTGATGCCAGTTTGAAAGATCGTGTTGGTAAAACGTGCAGTTTTGATAATTAAAAGTTGTATGTACGGCTGTTTTTATAATTTAGCACACAAACACACACAAAGTAAGAGACGCTGGAAACGTCCAGGACCAATTTGGACATTTTCCAAAGTTTGCAGTTTCTGAAAACATCTAAAGACCTAACAAGTTGTTCTATGGACTGTTGCTTAACTTCTGTCCTAAAAAACTTAAAGTTTCACTTATTTGTCGAGGTGTGAATCACTTTGATATTTGAATTGAATCTGTTCCATGTTGTGTTTAATGCACCATTTTCTGTTTTCTCTCTGCAGAATCTTTACGACAGCATCAAGAGTGAACCTTTTAAGATCCCAGAGGATGATGGGAATGACCTGACGCACACGTTCTTCAACCCAGACAGAGAGGGCTGGCTGCTGAAATTAGGTTAGTGTGGCTCTCTGCACATTCCCCTGCTGAAGGGTTGCAATACATCCTGGATTAAATTGACTTTATTTGGTTAGTCTTGCATTTTTCTCTACAATCGGGGCTTTATTCTCACAGCGGCACGAGGAGATAAATTGCAGGATAGTGGCTGAGCACACTGGTCATACATGGATCTGTTTAATAAGCCTCAAATCACTGTGACACTGGCCTGAAATGGTTGTGGGTGCACCTCTGTCTGCTCCAGTCAGGGTTAGTTTTGAGGCATTTTCATAAAAGCGACAACAAAAAAGACTAAAGACAGTTCAATAGTTTATATGCAAAGTACCAAAGCCTCTGCCATAATACAACATTATTTCCCACTGCAATGCCTGTATTCATTATTTATTCATCTATTTGTAAGTTATCTTTAAGAGTTAGAGCTCAACTATGACCATCAAACATCAGCAAGGTTAAAAAATATCAAATTAGTTGTTAGAAAATAGCTCATAATCAAGAATTAAATATATAAAAACATGTAAATAATTCATCTGTCAAGCTTGATTGAGAAACAGTGTGAGTATGATTTTTTTTTTGCAAAAGCATTATTTACACAACTGGCCCCAGATTTGCGAAAATCATCCAATTGTGTTGAGATATAGTTTGAAAAGGAAGACACACCTTAATTACTTCTTCTGCGTGCGTGCGTGCGTGCGCGCGTGTGTGTGTCTGTGTCAGGGATGCTTTCCCAATGATGTAATGAAGTTATTCTTCTTGTTTCAATTCTATTTTTTCCACGTTT